CATGTGATATTCTCCCTCTACTGTGTTAGTTCACTCATGTGATATTCTCCCTCTGCTGTCTTAGTTCACTCATGTGATATTCTCCCCGTGCTCTGTTAGTTCACTCATGTGATATTCTCCCCTGCTGTGTTAGTTCACTCATGTGATATTCTCCCCTGCTGTGTTAGTTCACTCACGTGATATTCTCCCCCTGCTGTGTTAGTTCACTAATATGATATTCTCCTTCTACTGTGTTAGTTCACTCATGTGATATTCTCCCTCTGCTGTGTTAGTTCACTCATGTGATATTCTCCCTCTGCTGTGTTAGTTCACTCATGTGATATTCTCCCCCTCTGTGTTAGTTCACTCATGTGATATTCTCCTCTGCTGTGTTAGTTCACTCATGTGATATTCTCACCTCTGCTGTGTTAGTTCACTCATGTGATATTCTCCCTCTGCTGTGTGTGTTAGTTCACTCATGTGATATATTCTCCCTCTGCTGTGTTAGTTCACTCATGTGATATTCTCCCTCTACTGTGTTAGTTCACTCATGTGATATTCTCCCTCTGCTGTGTTAGTTCACTCATGTGATATTCTCCCTCTGCTGTCTTAGTTCACTCATGTGATATTCTCCCTCTGCTGTCTTAGTTCACTCATGTCGTATTCTCCCTCTACTGTGTTAGTTCACTCATGTGATATTCTCCCCCTGCTGTGTTAGTTCACTCATGTGATATTCTCCCCTGCTGTCTTAGTTCACTCATGTGATATTCTCCCTCTACTGTGTTAGTTCACTCATGTGATATTCTCCCTCTGCTGTCTTAGTTCACTCATGTGATATTCTCCCCGTGCTCTGTTAGTTCACTCATGTGATATTCTCCCCCTGCTGTGTTAGTTCACTCACGTGATATTCTCCCCCTGCTGTGTTAGTTCACTCAGGTGATATTCTCCCCCTGCTGTCTTAGTTCACTAATATGATATTCTCCTTCTACTGTGTTAGTTCACTCATGTGATATTCTCCCTCTGCTGTGTTAGTTCACTCATGTGATATTCTCACCTTGCTGTGTTAGTTCACTCATGTGATATTCTCCCTCTGCTGTGTTAGTTCACACATGTGATATTCTCACCTTGCTGTGTTAGTTCACTGATGTGATATTCTCCCTGTGCTGTGTTAGTTCACTCATGTGATATTCTCCCTCTGCTGTGTTAGTTCACTCATGTGATATTCTCCCTCTACTGTGTTAGTTCACTCATGTGATATTCTCCCTCTGCTGTCTTAGTTCACTCATGTGATATTCTCCCTCTGCTGTCTTAGTTCACTCATGTCGTATTCTCCCTCTACTGTGTTAGTTCACTCATGTGATATTCTCCCCCTGCTGTGTTAGTTCACTCATGTGATATTCTCCCCTGCTGTCTTAGTTCACTCATGTGATATTCTCCCTCTACTGTGTTAGTTCACTCATGTGATATTCTCCCTCTGCTGTCTTAGTTCACTCATGTGATATTCTCCCCGTGCTCTGTTAGTTCACTCACGTGATATTCTCCCCCTGCTGTGTTAGTTCACTCACGTGATATTCTCCCCCTGCTGTGTTAGTTCACTCACGTGATATTCTCCCCCTGCTGTGTTAGTTCACTAATATGATATTCTCCTTCTACTGTGTTAGTTCACAAATGTGATATTCTCCCTCTGCTGTGTTAGTTCACTCATGTCATATTCTCCTTCTTCTGTGTTAGTTCACTCACGTGATACTCTCCCCCTTCTGTGTTAGTTCACTCATGTGATATTCTCCCTCTGCTGTGTTAGTTCACTCATGTGATATTCTCCCTCTGCTGTGTTAGTTCACTCATGTGATATTCTCCCTCTGCTGTCTTAGTGCACTCATGTGATATTCTCCCTCTGCTGTGTTAGTTCACTCATGTGATATTCTCCCTCTACTGTGTTAGTTCACTCATGTGATATTCTCCCTCTGCTGTGTTAGTTCACTCATGTGATATTCTCCCTCTGCTGTCTTAGTTCACTCATGTGATATTCTCCCTCTGCTGTCTTAGTTCACTCATGTCGTATTCTCCCTCTACTGTGTTAGTTCACTCATGTGATATTCTCCCCCTGCTGTGTTAGTTCACTCATGTGATATTCTCCCCTGCTGTCTTAGTTCACTCATGTGATATTCTCCCTCTACTGTGTTAGTTCACTCATGTGATATTCTCCCTCTGCTGTCTTAGTTCACTCATGTGATATTCTCCCCGTGCTCTGTTAGTTCACTCATGTGATATTCTCCCCCTGCTGTGTTAGTTCACTCACGTGATATTCTCCCCCTGCTGTGTTAGTTCACTCACGTGATATTCTCCCCCTGCTGTGTTAGTTCACTAATATGATATTCTCCTTCTACTGTGTTAGTTCACTCATGTGATATTCTCCCTCTGCTGTGTTAGTTCACTCATGTGATATTCTCACCTTGCTGTGTTAGTTCACTCATGTGATATTCTCCCTCTGCTGTGTTAGTTCACACATGTGATATTCTCACCTTGCTGTGTTAGTTCACTGATGTGATATTCTCCCTGTGCTGTGTTAGTTCACTCATGTGATATTCTCCCTCTGCTGTGTTAGTTCACTCATGTGATATTCTCCCTCTACTGTGTTAGTTCACTCATGTGATATTCTCCCTCTGCTGTCTTAGTTCACTCATGTGATATTCTCCCTCTGCTGTCTTAGTTCACTCATGTCATATTCTCCCTCTACTGTGTTAGTTCACTCATGTGATATTCTCCCTCTACTGTGTTAGTTCACTCATGTGATATTCTCCCCTGCTGTCTTAGTTCACTCATGTGATATTCTCCCTCTACTGTGTTAGTTCACTCATGTGATATTCTCCCCGTGCTCTGTTAGTTCACTCACGTGATATTCTCCCCCTGCTGTGTTAGTTCACTCACGTGATATTCTCCCCCTGCTGTGTTAGTTCACTCATGTGATATTCTCCCCCTGCTGTGTTAGTTCACTAATATGATATTCTCCTTCTACTGTGTTAGTTCACAAATGTGATATTCTCCCTCTGCTGTGTTAGTTCACTCATGTCATATTCTCCTTCTTCTGTGTTAGTTCACTCACGTGATACTCTCCCCCTTCTGTGTTAGTTCACTCATGTGATATTCTCCCTCTGCTGTGTTAGTTCACTCATGTGATATTCTCCCTCTGCTGTGTTAGTTCACTCATGTGATATTCTCCCTCTGCTGTGCACTCTTAGTGCACTCATGTGATATTCTCCCTCTGCTGTGTTAGTTCACTCATGTGATATTCTCCCTCTACTGTGTTAGTTCACTCATGTGATATTCTCCCTCTGCTGTGTTAGTTCACTCATGTGATATTCTCCCTCTGCTGTGTTAGTTCACTCATGTCATATTCTTCTCTACTGTGTTAGTTCACTCATGTGATATTCTCCCCTGCTGTGTTAGTTCACTAATGTGATATTCTCCTTCTGCTGTGTTAGTTCACTCATGTGGTATTCTCCCTCTACTGTGTTAGTTCACTCATGTGATATTCTCCCTCTCCTGTATTAGTTCACTCATGTGGTATTCTCCCTCTCCTGTGTTAGTTCACTCATGTGATATTCTCCCTCTGCTGTGTTAGTTCACTCATGTGATATTCTCCCTCTGCTCTGTTAGTTCACTCATGTGATATTCTCCCTCTGCTGTGTTAGTTCACCAATGTGATATTCTCCCCGTGCTTTGTTAGTTCACTCATGTGATACTCTCCCCCTGCTGTGTTGGTTCACTCATGGGATATTCTCCCTCTGCTGTGTTAGTTCACTCATGTGATATTCTCCCCCTGCTGTGTTAGTTCACTCATGTGATATTCTCCCCCTGCTCTGTTAGTTCACTCATGTGATATTCTCCCCCTGCTGTGTTAGTTCACTCATGTGATATTCTCCCTCTGCTGTGTTAGTTCACTCATGTGATATTCTCCCCCTGCTGTGTTAGTTCACTCATGTGATATTCTCCCCCTGCTATGTTGGTTCACTCATGTGATATTCTCCCTCTGCTGTGTTAGTTCACTCATGTGATATTCTCCTTCTGCTGTGTTAGTTCACTCATGGATATTCATGTAAGTGTGGAGGAACCTTTGCTCGTTATTAGACCTTATACAGGCCTACCAAAGAAAACTTTCCCACTGTGCAGAAAAACGCAGAAAAGCCCACATTAATCGTGGAAATAGTAACATAAACACATTACCTCGCTACTGAAACAGTAAAAACGGCAACGAAAAACCATGAAACTGCAACATTTTGAACATCAGTGAACTTTGACCTCTACTGTGCATGCGCATTACGACCCGGGCGTCTTTCCAAATTCTGAGCAACCGTGAATCGCCTCGCGTAGAAAAAGTATTAAATATGTCGAAATAATTGCTGTCAATCGTTTCACACGAATGAAACGTAAACTAAACAAGTGTGCACACAAGTATCATGATGATAAATGCGGAATAACACAACAGAAATACATAAAAAGGAATGTAACATTTGTCCAAGCTGGAAAATGTCAACATGCGGTCGAGACTTCCTCTTCCATGTGCGCATGCGCAAAATCGAAGTTGCGGGCTCCTCGTTTTATGATGCAGTGTTAGCGATTTAAAGTTGCCGTTTCTACTGTTTCAGTAGCGAGGTAATGTGTTTATGTTGCTATTTCCACGATTAATGTGCGCTTTTCTGTGTTTTTCTGCACAGTGGGAAAGTTTTCTTTGGTAGGCCTGTTATACCAGAAGCCGGTGTGACTCTGCACCAGTTCCAATCCAGACATCTAATTGAGGAACTCACTGAAATCTGACGTACCTTGTGTTCCATTTCAAGGCACTTACATGATGTACTCATCATTTGTACCAGGACATACATCATTTACTCACTTTCTGTTCTGTGTCAGGACACATTAATTACTCACTGTTCCATATAGGGACACATTGATTACTCACTTTCTGTTCTATATCAAGACACAAATATCTGTTCTCCTTCTAGAGAATCACATCATTTACTCACCTTCTGTTCTATAACTTGACACCTCACAGTTGGCAATAAGGACAGCTAGGGCTACGTGGAGATTAACAAATTCTCTAGACTGGATAGAACTCCATCTTCGACTTGAACAATCCTGTAAAAGAGAGAGACATTACTAAAGCTAACCTCAATAAGTGGGCAAACAGACACTTAGCTGTTAGCATTGCTCCATAAATATGTTGTGGTCTGGAGAAACATACACAATAAACATACCAGTAACCATTATCAGTCTTGCAGTTTCAGGGTACCCCCGTTAAGTCTTTTACAGAACACTGACATATATCATGCAATGAGAAATACTTGTTGTGAACATATATAAATAAAAACAAGTGATTTCTGCAGGAGTATAAAGAATAAATATGTAAAAGATGAGTGCAGATATTTCTTCTAGCCTAAACTCCTTTATCTGCACAAGATCTTTCGCCGATCAACAGGTCTTCAGGTGTACAATGAAAACTAAGTGTCATCATAGGCGATGCATAACGGTAGTATCTATGTCGTCACCATGCGTATGACCATCTGTTCTTTTTCCATCTGTAATCGTTTATCATTGTGAAACAACTGATAAAATGGAAAGATAGTAAACTAGCCATTCCCGCATTTATCAATGTGTTGTTCCATGTCTGAACAAATGCTTGTCCCAATTCAGCTAACGTCAATGGCTGATTCTGTGATTGACGTAAACATTGCTCCATTTCATCCCAAGCCTGCTCGAAAGGGGACAGGTCTGGAGAACAGCTGGCCAGGTGAGTACTGGAATGTTCTGCTGTCTCAGGAAATCCTGAGCCACATGTGAACGGGCATTATCTTGTTGAAGCATGAAGTTACATCTCTGTCCTTGAATGGAAGGCTGCAAATGAGGCCCAATAATCTCATCCCTGCATCGAGGACCTGCCAGATTGTCACTGACAAGACAAGAAAGACGACTCAAGATGATGAGTTTTCAATGTTTTTATTCAAGCTTAACCATCAGAAGTGATGCCTCCATAATACCTAGCCACAAAACTGTCGATGTTAAACAGCCAAGCGTCAACATACTGTTCATCTTGCTGTCTGTATACCCTGCCCTGCCATCTAAGCTGTCCAGATGAAATCTCTACTCAGCAGTGAACAAAACACCATCCCAATCTTGTACTGTAGATACTGTCTGCACCAGGCAAGATGTGCCTGTCGGTGACGTTCGAGCAAAATTAGGAACAATTACATGTATTGTTAGTAATTGTTAGTAAACTTACCTCTGGATTATGGTTGCCTTATTCCTGTGGATTCCACAGATACATACAGAATGGAAATGAAAATTTTAACTAAGTCATAGCTATCCCTAGTGGTATGCTTAAAAGAGTCTCCCTTAGGCTAGCTGTGACGTCACAATGTAGTTGTTGAAAACCTCTCATGATTTTTCTGAAGAAAACTGACATCTTCTGCATCTCCTCGTGGGGAGGTCGGGTGGGCACTAGACCCCATAATCCAGAGGTAAGTTTACTAACAATTACTAACAATACATGTAATTGTTCCTAATTATAGGCGTAAACATTCCCTCTGGATTATGGTTGCCAGAATCACACATACGGAAGGAGGGTTTATGCAGATGATGAATACAGCAATACCACTAATTATCCCGTTATAGTCTATGACATAACAATTAGGATAACTATGACTTAAGTGATGAAATGTAATATATATATGGATTACCTAGATCATTCCCTGGATATTTCAGTATTTAATTACCTAAAGGGAAGGATCATCCTTGTGAGGGAGAAATATATGGTGTTTGGAGAAGACTGTGACGTCACTTCCGGCCCCAGACGTCATATCCGGTTCTGTAATAGTCTATTGACTGATTCTCATTTTAACCGGTTTCTGTGACGTCACTTCCTGTTTGATGATGTCACTTCCTGTTTGATGACGTCACTTCCTGTTCATTGACGTCACTTCCGTTTATTGACGTCACTTCCAGTTTGTGATTTCAAGTCTTCTTGTGGATTATTTAACTGGAGTAATAAACTGCAGCGGATATAATAATTCCACTTACTGGTGATAAACATTAGTAGATACGGTTCTTCAAAGATCCCCATCCTTCTGTTTACTGTTAACCTGTTTCCTCCCTCACAGTCCAAAGACAGTGAACCACTGCTGAGTTTGGATATATATATATATGCACCCCCCTTCCTTTTTCCCCCCTTCAAGGGAAAAACAAGAGGAGGAGAGGCGCTGTCTGTAGGCTCTCTAAGGATGGAATGACGTTTTGCAAAAACAAATTGGTGTAGGGATTAGAGATCTTCCACTGGCATGCAGCAACAATCTGATCTATTGAAATGGACCCCCAAGCAGCAAGTGACGACATCCAGGCCCTGGTCTCATGCAGGGAAAACTATTCTTCACTAAGTTCGGGTCAAAATCCTGGTAACAAGAAAATGATTGTCTTCCTAAGCCAAGACGATAAAATATTCAATCAAGAATTCCAAATCAACAATTGTCTTGCATGAGATAATAAAACAAAACAAAAAACAAACTAACAAAACAGCGGCAACTATGTCTGATATTGAGAGCATGCTGGATATACCTTCTCAGAGCTCGAATAGGGCATAGGAGTCTAGTTCTGTCTGATCTAGAGGCAGAGGTAGGGAATACTTGAATCTGGTATACTCTGTGGCCGAGAGACCGCCAGCAGAAGCCTGATTCTTGGCAAGAACAAACTGGTAAAGTTCTACAAGACAGCCATCTAGAGCCTCCTGTAAAGGTGATTGACTAAAGTCTATGGCCAAAAATTCTGGTATTCTGGAACTGGAAACTGTAGCAATGACAAGTAGAAAACCCAACTTTTATGGAGAAGAAATGACAATGAATTTCTTACATAGGTTTGGAAGACTTCTGGAGAGACTACAGAATTATACATAAAGCCAACTTGGGGAAGATTGTAGGACTAGGAGCCGAAAAAATAATAATAATAAATAAATAAATTGGAATGAACTAATCGGATTGTAGAGCAAGCTGTTAGAACCACTGCTAGTCCTTGTATATCTCAAACAGAAGCGATTGCTGATCTGTAGTCCACCATAGTACTGTGTTGCAGTGTCTTAACGTCACTGATAAAAGTAGAAATCCGCTAAGAATCGTTGAGATAGCCCTGAATCTGAATTCCCCTCAACATAAAAATTTGTAGGAGCGATATCATAACAATGAAAATATCTAGAAATTGTTGAAACAATTTCCTCATTGGATTGTTCTGGAAGATTCGTATCTCCAGTCAAGAGGTGAAATGGTACTATATCTGCCGAATGGTCTAACACAATCACTCGAGTGTGATTGGCATCGGAAAACTGCCTGAAAAACGACATCCAAAGAGGAGTGGGCAAGCATACTCCGTGGGCTGACATGACCACCATGGAATCTGATGAATTGCCATATAATCCTCAAAACCTGGGTGAGGAAGCTACCCGATTCCCAAGACAAGGCAACTGCCGTATGAAAAGATATCGATCTAGTATGCACGGTCGAAAATATGAACGAAATTTGTGGATAATTTCGAGGATAGGTGTGAGAAATCCCTATCAATTTGAAGCACTGGCGAGGAAAAACAACCCCATCCTATCAAGGTTGACATGGGCTTGTCTATCCATACCCCTAGCCAAGGATGCTAAGCCTTCATATTTGCAAGATTATCGTGACTGAATTGTCCCGCCACTTTGTACAGTGAACGCAGACACGAAATCACGGAATAATTTCCCACAGGGTGCATAAAACGCTTACAGCGCATCTCCAATGGCGCGTCATATTTTTCAAAGAACGTACCTTCATAGAAAAAGATATTACAATTCAATGCGGCGTTGATTAAACCCATGATTAAACTCATATCCCCCCGTAACACTCGAAAACCTAACAACACGATGTTTACGGCGTCCATTTACAAGGTATTAGCTCTCGGCCAATCAGCGTCATTCAGTCCGCAGTAAATACTATTTATCAGCCAATGAAATAATTCGTTATATTTCGAAGCTGGTTTCCGGCTCCCTTTGCGCTCGCGAACTTGCGCCACCTTGCGTATATTGCGATAAGCGAGATGGGGCCCAGCGTAACACATGGTTGCAGAAGTTGGTAGACCAAACGGAAGATGCCATTAGCGTGTTTAGGGGAGATGAGGGTGATGAAAAAGTAAACTAACGACGGAATACACCTTCCAAGATCCGTCAGAAAGCAGAGGGATAATAGGCACTTGTTAGAACAATAAATGTGCCCTATAACACGCCTTTTCCAGGTACAAGGTACATGCTCAAGGTGTTGACATGTTACCTTTTATTACCCCTGAAAACCCATGCTGCCCAAGAGGCGCGAGAAAATTGAATAGCCACATGAATTATCCCACCAGGTACCCATGTACCCTGCTTGGTTATATCGAGGCAATTGAATAACTCAGTTGCCTGTATTCAGTGACTGGATATCAGTCTTGTTTCCAACCTAACGGTATATCGCCCGTGCCACCCGTTGAGCGCTCAGCTGACAGTGCATTCTGGCAAGAAAATGCACGTGTCATCTCCTTATCTGATTTATTCACCTGGTCGTCACCTGGTCCGACTCGTGTTACCTGAACTGCTGTCGCCTTGTGGGACAGCCGATTGATTTTGAACCGTGGCCACGAATATAGCCGTGGTGTTTCAAATTCAGTTATAGTAATAATAATAATATTACTGAAAATCACGAAATCCAACCACAAAGTGGATGCTCAAGCGCTACAAGTGAGGTTGAGTGAATAGTACAAAGAAAGAGGTGCGTTGAAAGATGTGATCTGAACGCCATAAAACACGGAAACAGTTTATAGCGAGAAACAGTCTATTCCACAGGGATGGCGCGCAACCACTGAAAGAACACTCGCAATAAGAGGCCAAGGCCGTCTGTAAGAAGGAGTATTAAATAAGAATTGCTTCCAGATCGTAGTTGTCCGGGTGGTTGAAGCGGGTTAGCCATTCACTTATATGATAGATATTTTGGTGTCATGCCATTTAGACTCTTGTATGAGATACAGAGTACCTTAAACAACTGTACCGGGTTGTTTGGAAGTGTGGCCGTAGGTAGATTCCAATGGAACGGATGAAAACCGAAGTAGTAGACTAAGTAATAGGCCCAGATGACGAAATGTATATCATTGTTTACCACGCCAAGTGGAACAGATTGTCGAGTGGAGACGAGATCGACAACTACCTAGCTCAGAGTTTGTCGTAGGCATAAAAAATTAGGAGTCATAATGACTCTCAAGTGACATATGCGAAGGAGTCATATGTTTTGTGAGTAAACGTCAGTTTGGAACTTCCTTCAAGACATCAATGGTGATTGTTTAATAACAACAAACAAAACAATAAGACATGTCAGGTATTTAAGCAGCACCCGGTCACGTTCGGCTTGCGACTCCGACCGCACCATGCGGAAATAAACGATTGCCTGCCAAGCGGACTTACTAATAGTAGGGTCAAACACAAGCGGTTGAACCCCCGGAACTGAAGGCAGGACCTCGTGCGGCTTGTGCCATGGGCATAAGCTACCGTCGGTCGACCTCGTCGACATAGACGGTGTCAACCTGAGCCGAGATATATCCCGTTATGCCATGCCACCGATCCGCCGGACTACCCGTGGCTACGGGAGACAGCAGCTGGTGGACAGCCGTGAAGCCCGTGTCTCCCGTAGCCGGTACGGTTGACTGGGACGATCCCATACGTGTGGCAAGCGGTCCACGGGATCAGCCCCGTTATGCTCGCGCGGCTCCAATCCGCTTGTGCGGGAAAGGGTGGCCGGCCGAGAGGGCTTTTATGGGTTGTAACCGTTGCCGGTTGAAACCCTGGGACTGAAGGCAGGGCCCGTGCGGCTTGCGCCATGGGCAAATCCTGCCTAATGTCGAACCGTCGACATAGTCCCTCCCGTTCGAAACCTTGGCTTCTCCCGCCGTGGGGATTGCTCATCAGTTTGCAGTTCGCGGGTGATACTACGGCTTTCCCGAGTACAGCACCACAACGACCTATACGGGTATAAACTCTAGGCTTCAGCCTGATCACACTGCCTCTGCAGATTAAATTTTAGCCTCGTTTTTTTCGAATTTGCAAAGAATAGATATATGGACGAATGAATGTATCCCGTAAGGGATGAAAATAATGCTGTATATTGTCCATTTAATCCAATCATATTACAAAAAAATTTTTTTGACACAATGAAAATCGGTTATAAAAAGAGTATGGAGGACCCGTGAGGCAGGAGGCAAATAGAAAAAGGGGATACAACTTGGCCATGAATTTTGAGATTGCAGACACGTGCTAGACATTATGATTTTTGGCGGGAAAATTAGATGAAAAGCAAGCAATATGCACAAAATATAGAATGCGATCGTCAGAAACATCAACCAATGCGACACTACTGACCAGGAGTCTTGAAGTTGTTGAAAATTTGAAGAAAAATTATAAAACACTTCCACTCTGTAAACATGTCCTCTGTGTTGTCCATACAGAAAAATTATGAGAGGTTTTCAACAACTACGTTGTGACGTCACAGCTAGCCTAAGGGAGATAACTGCGTAACTCTTTTAAGCATACCACTAGGGATAGCTATGACTTAGTTAAAATTTTCATTTCCATTCTGTATGTATCTGTGGAATCCAATGGAATAACGCAACCATAATCCAGAGGGAATGTTTACGCCTATAATTGAACATATTGCAGGCTAGATGTTGTACTCCCAGGTTAAATTTTGCCCTTATTTTTTGTGAAAGCCATCACTCACCTGACTGTCACCAGAAGTGACTGGCTGACCCAGGAGAAATGTGATGAGACGATAGAAGCCCTGGCGACCATTCATGTGAGAACAGGCTTTAGTGCCCTGAAACATAACACAAAACAAAACATTAAATAGTGGCATGCTATCATGCTATCATGACATGGGTTTTTGACTTACAGAACACAATGCTACTCACCATCTGGATCATCCACTGTATACTACACTGTGACTGAGAACACACCAGGTCTGATGTACAATGCTACTCACCATCTGGATCATCCACTGTATACTACACTGTGACTGAGAACACACCAGGTCTGATGTACAATGCCACTCACCATCTGGATCATCCACTGTATACTACACGTGACTGAGAACACACCAGGTCTGATGTACAATGCCACTCACCATCTGGATCATCCACTGTATACTACACTGTGACTGAGAACACACCAGGTCTGATGTACAATGCCACTCACCATCTGGATCATCCACTGTATACTACACGTGACTGAGAACACACCAGGTCTGATGTACAATGCCACTCACCATCTGGATCATCCACTGTATACTACACTGTGACTGAGAACACACCAGGTCTGATGTACAATGCCACTCACCATCTGGATCATCCACTGTATACTACACCGTGACTGAGAACACACCAGGTCTGATGTACAATGCCACTCACCATCTGGATCATCCACTGTATACTACACTGTGACTGAGAACACACCAGGTCTGATGTACAATGCCACTCACCATCTGGATCATCCACTGATGACTGAGAACACACCAGGTCTGATGTACAATGCCACTCACCATCTGGATCATCCACTGTATACTACACCATGACTGAGAACACACCAGGTCTGATGTACAATGTCACTCACCATCTGGATCATCCACTGTATACTACACCGTGACTGAGAACACACCAGGTCTGATGTACAATGCCACTCACCATCTGGATCATCCACTGTATACTACACTGTGACTGAGAACACACCAGGTCTGATGTACAATGTCACTCACCATCTGGATCATCCACTGTATACTACACCGTGACTGAGAACACACCAGGTCTGATGTACAATGCTACTCACCATCTGGATCATCCACTGTATACTACACTGTGACTGAGAACACACCAGGTCTGATGTACAATGCCACTCACCATCTGGATCATCCACTGTATACTACACCGTGACTGAGAACACACCAGGTCTGATGTACAATGCCACTCACCATCTGGACATAGTTGCGGATGACGGTAAAGTACTGGAAGCAGTTCTTGACATGGTCTACAACATCTTTCTCCAACATAACCAGCAAGTGTTCTATGACACAGTCAAAATTCTTGTGTGTCTGTAAAAGTATATATATATCAAACATAACATGAAAGTAACTGGTCACTATATCAAGTTATCAGAACACATTCATACGCTAACATACACATTTCATTCTATTTTGGCACCTGGGTGAATCTCACAATAAGGCTTTACAGCAAGGATTTATGTAGCAGGAACAACAATCTACATTTGTATTTGGCAAATAGGCACAACTTCTGTGACTGAGAACATATTTTGTGTTGCTGTAAACAGACGATGCACAAGGACATACCGCTACACCCCCATGGTAGAAGAAGCTGGAGATAATTCGATCCAAAAGCTTGGCCATAAAGGTTCGGACATCTCTATTTGGACACTCCAACAAGAATGGCCTGGAATGTATGGAAACAATACCCTTCTTTAACATCAGGAAATGCATTGCATCAGATATTTATTAGACTAAATCACACATACTATGAGCACTTTTATGTGCTAAACAATGGGAAACATTCTAGCATATGGCATTTCACAGAAATCATTCTTAATGCGAAAATTAAAAGTTTCTTTTAGATGAATATTGTATTGTGAAGAAATCAGCCAAATGCCATTGGATAACAAACCAAAGTCCATGCTGTAAGGTCAGGTTAGCTGTCTTAAAACAAAATTTGAACACTTCCATGTTTAAAAAACATCACTTCTTGTTGAAGGAACTTTGTAACAGAAATTCCAATACACATACCAATCCCATCAGAGTTACAGTTTAAGATACTTCCATGTGATTCAACAGCAGCATTAATCTCCCAAGAAAATTTCAAACAAAGCAAATCTGGTGTTGCAGATATATAATTACTGCAGCATAATGTAAACACAGTCTAAATTATAATGTTTGAGAGTCTTTCAATGTATGAAGAACACAGATACACGAAAAGATCATGGATTAATCAATGAAACATGATTTGTAATAATCTTGAATAAAAATCAAATATTCCATGTTTTAACAATATTTCTGACGACCATAACCTCAATCAAGAATCTTCTCAAAATATAACCCCAGAGATAATGTGTATTAAGTTTCTATAATCTGATATTGTACATGCTCAATTTGTTTGCATATTCAAGCATTTTGGGATGTGTACACTGTACTTATCTACTTTGGCCTCATCCCATCACATGAATTAATATTACTTGTTGCAAACATTGGCCCTTTGGTATTCAATAATCATATTTGAATTAACTATTACAATTAATGGCCCAGTAAGTTTGACCTTCATTGAAAGACTCTTAAAAACAACACTATGGCCCAGCCTTTGGTTAGTAAGTGCCAGATTTCATCTAGCTACAGAGGACACACCTGAGATAATGTGAATATAATCCGTCTTTGTGTGTATGACCTTTGGTTTCAAACTGACCTTCAATATCAAATGCAAGTATTTCTAGAACATTCCAAAGGGCTACCCAACAAACAGGAGGCAAAACTGATGCCAGAAAAAGAATAAGGCATAACTGTTACCTATCCTCACTCACTGTATTAATAAATGCCAATATACTCTACACAGAAAGAAGGGTTATTCCTATACAAGAGATGCTTACTGACATACAAAGAGGTATCAAGTGATGGTAATGGAAGAGTGCTGCATTAATCAGTATTCCAGTTATAGCATGGCAAGTGAGCTGAATGCAGGAGGAAAGCCCGGTGTCAGATGCGTTTCACTCTATGGAGACCTAAGGGCTTGGGTATGGTGCTGACAAACCTAGAAACAATTGTAGTGAACAAATGGAGGAGAAAACGGAAGGACAAGGTGCACCATGACAATCTACACAACATGTTGTTAGATGTAAGTGTGGAAACAACCTTGAGAGATGATGGGTGCATAGTTTAAAAAAAAAGCATTGTCACTAAGGTGACATAATCCCCCGCCGCAAATTATCAAATCAAACTTATAAAGTAATGAAAGTTTAAGATGAAGTTAAATGTCAACTAAAACATGACCAGTCAACCTCTCTTGATATCTGGCTCTTTAGTTGTTCAAACACACACATATTTTCAAGACTGACTTTGACCTTGACATGAATGTCATAGTGTATGAAATATGCAAAACTAGTTCTAAAGAAATTGTTTATTGAAAAACATTCAAGGGAAATCTTGAAAGTCTATGAAGAAAATCCAGTGAACTGTTCTTAAAATATCTTGCTGACAATTCAGGTTAACATGCTGAAATCTTCAAAGTGTCGTCTTGACCCTAAAAATTACGTGAAGGTCACCAAAATTGACTGGGCCCTTGGCCTTCCCTAGATGAAGCTTGGTGTCAAATATGAAGAAAATCCAGTGAATATTTTTGCGATATCTTGCTGACTATCTTAACATGCAATTTAACATGCTGAAATCTTCCAAGTGTATCTGTGACCTTGAAAATTAAGTGAAGGTCACCAAAATCGACTGGGCCCTGGGCCTTCCCTGGATGAAGCTTGGTGTCAAATATGAAGAACTCCAGTGAATGGTTCTTGAGGTATCTCGCAGACAAGCCTAACATGTAGGTTAATATGCTGAAATGTTCAAAGTGTCTCTGTGACCTTGAAAATTAAGTGAAGGTCACCAAAATCGACTGGGCCCTGCGCTTTCCCTAGATAAAGCTTGTATTCAGGTAAAACGTTAAAGTCCCCTTGTGACCTTGAAATGAAGGTCAAGGTCACCAAACCTGACTTGGACCTTTCTTTTACTGTGATGAACCTAGGTACCAAATATGAAAAAGACTAGTGAGCGGTCCTAAAGATATTCCAATTTAAATGCGACGGACGGACTGGCCGGAGCCTACAGTCCGTTTGAGTCAGAAACGGACCGGTGAATTGCAAATTTTATCATTGTACAAAATTGCCACATAAAAATAAATAGTCCACATGTTTATAATTTACTAATACCCAACAGCTTTCTGATATTTGAACATTTTCCAGACTCCACCAAAAAAGTTCTTTAAGAAACTATCATCATTGAAAAGCATAAAAGTTGTTATCTGTGGTGGCGGTGAAACCGCAGAAACGGAACAGCCAGTCATGGCGGCGGACATCTCAAAATCTATTCGGGAGACCTGTCGGTTCCTCGTCTGTCGTAGTGTCATAGTCACGACTTAAAGGGATGATAAGTGGTGCCACAGTTGCCTGTTGTAAGCCATACCGAGACCAGTAACCTTGTTCAATGACGTTAGCTACCTTGTTGACACAGTTTTGCCAAGTTTCAGTCGTGATTTTGTTAAAGGGATTCCTTAACCAAAACCTCTACGTCACGTAATCTAAAAGTTGTGTTTGATCTGGCAACATCTCCTATGACAATACCCCATATCATTTCAATGGGGTTAAGGTCACAGTCATAGGGTGGAAGTCGCAGAATATCGTGACCCTTACTTTTTATGTAACTGTCAACTTTGTAGAAAGGTTCACCTTTGTGGGTTTTTATGATCTCATATAGCTGAGGCTTCGTTGCCTTTGAAGGCCGTGCGATCTGAAATTTGTCGAGCCATGATATCATATCACCTTTTCGACTGTTCGATGTCGGGGCTTTACTGTCTGGGTCCTGCACGCTGTGGTATGGGGCATTGTCCATTACGATAAAAGACTTCTCTGGTAGAGCTGGTACCAACTTGTTTTTAACCCAATCGAGGAAAACCCCACCATTCATCTCGGAATGGTAGTCTCTGTTATCTGTGGACTTTGCCCTGAATACCAAGTGGCAGCCTGGGAAAAAGCCTTTGCTGGAGCAACCAGCATGGAGAATGATTAGTCTCTCTCCTTTCCCTTGAGGCAACTTTCTACGTGACCCCTTATCACCCCCATCAGGTACCCACTGACTGCTGGCAGTGTGCGGGCCATTGACCCAGGTCTCGTCCAAATACACTGGCTCGAACCCTTCCTCACGCTTCTTCTTTATAACCCTGAGAAAATTATTTCTCAAGCCGAACGATATCATGGCGTTCACAGAGTACTGACCTATTCTTCCCCGAAATTTTCTTATAATGATACCCGAAAGAGTGTAAGAGTCGCCAGAGTGTGTACTTTGATACTCTGTTCTTGCTTCAAATGCTTTTTATTTGTTTTCAGAATAGAGCTTGTTGATAGACTGCCTTACAAGGTTCTTTTGAAAGTTGTCCAAATGTTTTAATTTGTGTGATTTTGATACGACCCCTCCCTGCTTCGCATCACCCTCACATTTTTTGTGTTCCAGAACATTTGTCAGTACCCTTGCTGATACTCCTAAAGCTTTTGCTGCCCGCTTACGGAATTTATTAATGGCATAAAATGGTTTGCCCCTTTTGGCTTCAGCACGGAAAACATCGTACACTTTAATCATCAACTGTTTCACGTCAGCATTCAACTTCATTTTTCATCAAGCATGTGTATCCCGTGCACGACGAGATAGTGGCTGTTCCGTTTCTGCGGTTTCACTCTGCCGCGACAGATAACAACTTTTGCGTTTTCAATGATGATAGTTTCTTAAAGAACTTTTTTGGTGGAGTCTGGAAAATTTTCAAATATAAGAAAGCTGTTGGGTATTAGTCAATGATAAACATGTGTACTATTTATATTTATGTGGCAATTTTGTACAATGATAAAATTTGATATTCATCCGTCCGTTTCTGACTCAAACGGACTGTAATACTATATCCCCCGCTTCGAGCTAAACTCGCGGCGGGGAATAATGAATGCTTGAGATGACTTGATCATTGAACCCTCACGCTGCCATGATTGGTCAAACATTGATGGCATGATCCAAATCAACCTCGCAAGGACAGTTTCAGGAGGACTTGCAGTCATGCCCAATATTGATCTGATCCAACCAAAATGTAATTTTTTAAGTAAAATTGATATTTTTATACTTATCCTGACTCATGATCTTTTGCTTATCTCCCTTTCCCTTTCAAATGGTAGTGGAACACTTGAATCCCTTGAAGTTCCTGAAGTGGACATATAAGTACACTCACCCGCAAGTTACCTCCCTTTGCTCTTTCCTGCACAAACCAGTCATGTGACGTGCCTTACTTGTCACTCTCTCCTGATTTTCTGCCCATGCACTTGGATCTGCTGTAAAATCTCAAGTGTCTTCAACAGGGAGGTTGGGAGGGCTTCTTCGTCATGAGTCAGGATAAGTATAAAAATATCAATTTACTTCAAAAATTACATATTTTTACTTATCCTGACTCATGATCTTTTGCTTATAGAATCCGACAGATTGGTGGTGGGTCAAGCCACTGGATTCAACAGCTGTCCTTAGATACGTCCTGTATCCCCCCCATGGGAGCTGCGAATGGCATTTCCGTGATCCTATTCTTCCAACTTCCATTATAACTCGGGGAGACCACTTTCTTGTCTTACTTCAATCTCAGACAAGTTGAATCACGTTGAT